TTTTGGGCTGAAGAGACACCTTTATCTTACTCCTAAATACTCATTATTGAGAATATGCTGCCAGCTCTGAATAACTGCATTAAAATAATACATTTGAATCCACCCTTTCGAGACCTTCCACGTGCCCAAAACACTCAGAGAGCGTCTCTGAAAGGGTTTCCACAGGTAAAAAAATAAAAGCCACACATCAGTAATAATAAAAATAATTTAAAAAAAAAGAGGCAGGAAACAAAAGGATTTTCTTTTTAACCCTCAGCCCTGGCCCTTCAGTAAGAATCTGTGAAATGGAAGAACACACAGGAGTTATGATGCTTTTCCAGGCCTTCCACCACATTAATTTCATTCTTTACAAGGGAAATAGGTCAAAAACCACGAGACAGACCTACTTTGTGTCAGCACAGTGACAGCCCCCAAGATTTATTTAAAATTAAGACTAATATTGGGTAAGTAAGAGGAATAAACTAAGAGTGACGTCACCATTATCAACACCTTCCTGAGGGAATATTATTAAAGAGAATATTACTGAGCTCTGTGTCAGTAAGAAGTGAAGAAATGTTATTAAATCAACTTTATTTCGGGGGAAATTGCAGAAAGAAAGAGGAACTTGGTGCCAATTCCCAGCAACCTGGAATAACGAAGATTATAGGAATTTCAGGGATATTTGATACAGAGCGTTCCTAAAGTATCTAATAAACAGCAGCAGGAAACAAAGAGGTAAAACTATTTGTAATTGTTCAGTTTTGCTGGAAATTATTGACTTGGAGGTTACTGGGGAAAGGGAAACCCGGGAAAACAATGATTTTAGTTTAAAAGAAAACCAAATTTAAATGTAACTTTCACAAACTCCACCTGAAAATTCAACTTTTTTTTTCAGGAAAGAGACTAAAAGCCAGGAATAAATCCCGGATATTTGGAGAAAGGCTGTGGGCACAGTGATGGGAATAACCCCAGATCTCACTGACTGGGCTCGAAAACGAAGCAAGAAAGGGTAAAAAATGAGACCCATCCTCCCACACCTTAAAAGGAGAGGCCTCAATAAACCAAATAACCCTCCTTTGTGTGAGACACCTGACGGTCAGGGCAGAGCGGTCTTGGAATAACTGGAATAATTCAGCCCCAGTTGCTGTGCAGGGGAATGTCAGAACTGTGGCAGGACTGCAAATTAAACCCATAAATTATGCTTTTGTGCCAAAGTAACAATCACATGACTGGACTATTTTTAGACACAGGGAATTTTTTTTTTTTTTTAACTCCCCAGTGCTATTTTTTTTTCCCCCCCCTGTTTACTGAATTACGTAGCTCTGCTCAGCAATTTCCCTAATGAAAATCCACTTAAGGTATTAAAAAAAAAAATATGGGAACAATAAAAACCAGCTCTTCAGACACCTCAGTGCAAAACCTACAGCTTCATCTGGCATTAATGGAATAATAGTTGAGTTTTTGCTGCCTCTGAACCCTGGGATGCCACAAATCTGTGTAATGTGATGGATAATTACCTACTAATTGAATGTATTCGGAGAATTTGGCCCCACTATTTTATTTCATTTCAGAGGCCGTTCTCTCCTTCCTAAAAGAGGACTCGGAAATTCGAAGATACGAAGAAAAAAGAAGTGTGGCTTTTTTTTTTTAATCCCTTTAAATGCCAGCCTTTCCTTGCCACACCAGCTCTGTTAGTTAGAAGTGTAATCATTTTTCAGTGGATTTCTGAAGATTTGTATACGTGACCTTTCCTTCTCCAGCTCCTCCTTCTCCTTCCCCCTGCTCTGAGTCAGCTGGTTCATGAATATACCATTGACTTCAAAATATTCTGCCGCTAAAACATCGCGTTTGCTTTGTTATTTCAGAGCTGTGGAAACAAGTAAATGCCCACAGAAAGTATTTTTTCAACGCACTAACTGCCAGCAGGGCACGGGATTCCAATAAAACTTGGTAAAGCCTGACCTTTTTCCTCATCAAGCCTCAGATTGAAGGTGGGTCCGTTCAGCTTGTTCATTCCACGCTGGAAAAAGGAGCAGTTAAAAGAGTTAAAAGATAAGCAGCAGCGAGCAATATACCCCACTTAGGATGTTAAGATTTCAGTATTAAGTGATTCTTAATTATTTATTCATATTTATAAATACTTGGGAGTTTTTTTTTCCTTTAAAATTTCTCCTTTAAAATTACTGTTTCCACCTCGCATTTTGTACATATTTAATTTCCTAACAC